CCTATAGTCCCAGGTACCTGGGAAGCTGAGGTTAGAGGATCACCTGAGCCTGGGAAGGTCAAGGATGCAGTGAACCACCATATTGCCACTGTACTCCAGCCTGTGCAATAGAGAGCCTGTCTCAAAACGACAACAAAACCCAAACAAACAAACAAACAAAAAAAACTATGTGTGCTAAATATATATATCTATATAATAGATACATGTATATATATGTGTGATGTATATATTTTTCTCTTTTTTACTGATTGCTTGCTTTAACTGAATTTTTTTAATAAACTTATCTACTATCAATCCTGAGCGCATAGAATGAGAGCTTCTAATTAGAGTTCAAATATAAAAAATAGCAAGAGAATTACGGCACATGGTAGTACGGACGTGCCAAATTCAAAAGAATTGCTGGTGGAATGCCACCACCTTCCCACTGAATCTTCTCAATAAAACTCAAAAATAAGAACACACATTTTGAAGTTAAGAAGTTATTCAAAAATAATAAAAGACATGACAAAGCCATAAAGCAAACATTTATGATGCATCATAAAATATCTACTCTGGGCGGGGCATGGTGGCTCACTTTCGGAGGCCAAGGGAAGTGGATTACCTGAGGTCTGAGGTTCGAGACCACCCTAGCGAACACGGTTAAACCCCGTCTCTTCTAAAAATACAAAAAAAAAAATTAGCCAGGCATGGTGGTGCATGCCTGTAATCCCAGCTATTTGGGAGGCTGAGGCAAAAGAATCACTTGAATCTGGGAGGCAAAGGTTGCAGTGAGCTGAGATCGCGCCACTGCACTCCAGCCTGGACCACAACAGTGAAACTCCGTCTCAAAAAAAAAAAAAAAGGTCTATTCTGCCATTTAAAACACAATGAAGTAAAATCTACCATTTAAATTCCCAAAATATAGAATTCACAACAATTTACAGTAACCATGGTAACCACACATTCTTTGGTGGTGGAATCAGCAAAGTTCCAGATCCCAAATTCTAGCAGGTTATAACAGCAAAACACTAAGAGTGAGTACTAATTTTACAACTTAAAGTTCAGTCTGGATAATAGCACCTTCCTCGTATGACTGTTACTAGAATGTCTGTCACACAGCTAGCCCTCGAATAGTTTTTATTTTATTTTTTTCAATAAATACTTTAACTGTTATATCTCCAGCACATCAGCTAGTAACTGGCACTTAATAAACATTTGTTTAAAATAAAAAATGTGTCCTTCACGATTAAAAAAGTATCAAGGCCAGGCAAGATTGCTCACGCCTGTAATTCCAGTACTTTGGGAGGCCAAGGCGATGTATCACCTGAGGTCAGGAATTCAAGACCAGCCTGGCCAATCAACGTGGCAAAACCCCATCTCTACTAAAAATACAAAAACTAGGTGGGCGTGGTGGTGGGCACCTGTAATCCCAGCTACTTGAGAGGCTGAGGCAGGAGAATGGCTTGAACCTGGGAGACAGAGGTTGCAGTAGGCTGAGATCGCACACTGTGCTCCAGCCTGGGCAACAGAGCAACTCCGTCTCAAAAAAAAAAGAAAGAAAGAAAAAAAGTATCAAATATTTTGGCCACTTACTCTAAATTGAAATGTTACATTATCAAAATACTTAACGGAATGTGGCCACATCAAGTATCTAAAAAAGGAATTAAGAATATAAATCCCTGCTCTATTTTAAAGGTTCACAATCTAAATTCAGTTATACACTCTGAAAGAACATCATTCAAGCATATAGAAGAGTCATCTGGGAAAAAAGAAACAGGAAAGATTAGCTCCAAGTCTGGTAACATTAACAATAAGATACTAGTTCAATTTACTTTTAAAAAAGATATTACTATGAATGATAGAAGGGATGCCACTATCCTAAAATTTAGAATTCATGACAGTGGATACTATTTCTACGATTCATATTTTCCAGGTAAATCAAGGAATGGCAGTTAGCATGCCTTATTTCAGTATCTCTAACTCCCCTGATAAGCTCTATCCTCAAATACAGTAGGTGCTCAATAAGTATCATTTAATCCTCTTAACAAACCTGAGCTATATGTTATCTTCTTATCACAAATAAAGAAACTGAGGCTAAGAGGATGGATCTAGGCCAACCTGCAAGTAGTGGCCTACCTTAATGCCTTGCTCTAAGTCATGAAGCTAGTAGCACTGTCAAAATCTGACTTCAAAATTCAAATTCTTTCAATTATACCGTGTCATCTAAACAGCAAATCATAATTATTAAACCCAAGAGTTATATTATTCTTTCTAAATTATGTTCCTGCATTAGAGCTTGTCAAAGAAAAAATCTTCAGCAGCTATTGTCTCTTGAGTGTTCTATTGCAGACATTTGACGGCTGCCATTCCAGTCTTCATTCCCTACATCCCAAGAATTCTAGAGTTCAGATTTGAGAACTCTATTTGGGGATCCTTGTGACAATAAAGTAGAACATGTGTCCAGTTGTAACATGATCTAAGCTAACCCAATCAGAAGGAAATGCAGAACTCCTGAAAGTGTTGCACCAATGACATAATTAAGGCAGTATGCCCCAGGAGCTGGGGACAACCATACTTGCATGAGGAAAATCTAGGCATTATTATTAAGCCACTGGATAGCTTTACTTTAAAATTAATAAACCCTTAGTATTTTTAAACCAATTTGATACCAGTTTTGAGTTACAACCATAAAATCCGAAATGATAGATTTTTATAAAGATATTTCTCATTTAATATCTTTCACATACAGTATTGTTCCCTTACTCATGAAATGTCCTCTCCCTTGATGCTTCTCATCTATGGGCACTTATTATACATTATTTTTAATAATGAAAAGAAATCTACATCCAAAACCTATGAGGGAAATCTTATCCTCACTGTTTCATATATGAGAAAACTCAAGCTCGAATAGACTGAGTGGCATTCTGAATACCGCATAATACTTGGAGTCAGAATTCAAAGCCATGTGTACCTAGTACCATGTGTTTACGTACTTAGAAAGCACACTCCATAGTACAGTTAAGATCCAGATACTCCAGTGCCTCCCACAGTATATGACACAGGACAAGTGGCCAATAAATATTTGAGGAATAATGACTCAATAGAGAAATGAAGTCCCATCGGCCACAGATTAAATTTCATGAAGACAGACAACTGTCATTATACTGAGATAGCCTTTTATATACAATGTTGTTGAAATGTGGTATCTAGAAAGAAACTGGAAAATATTTCCTTGATATTACATATTTGCTGCTGTACTTACAAGGACTACACAGAAATGTCAGAAATCTAGAACTGTAGATATATGTATATTTTTCAAGCCAAATACTTTAAATGCATTAAACGACCTGTGTTTAGTAAAAGCAGGACATACTTCTTAAGCATGTAATAAAAATCGAATACAATTAAAATTGTTCAATTGTCTTCATTTTGGAACCAACGTTGTCCAACATAAGTGACAACTTTCTAGCTTTACTCCTTTTTCTGTAAACTAAATGCATGAACCAGACTACATCTTTGATACCACCTAGCTCTGTGATTCTGTAGCAATTCAAGAATGTCACTAACTGGCAACTTCTCAGAGTGTCTGCCTGATTACACAGCCTAAAAGTAACCGTGAGGACTCTCCTATCAAACAATTTGAATGCTCAGCACAATAGTTGCCTATGACTCTTTCTCTTACTTATGCATCCCCACTAGACTGTAAGAACCAAGAGAACAAGACTTTGCTGTTTACACAACCCAATAAGCACCCCAAAAATGTCGCTGAAGAAGTAATATTCATGTAATACTAATAATGCCTCTTTGCCCAACTTTAAAAAGCAAATAGTATATTACTGGGCATGTTCTGCATTTTCTAAGAAATCAATGTTCCCACATAAAGTATTACATGCTTTGTCTCAGTATTAATCTTGCAAGCAAAGGTTTTAAGAATACTTAGCAACTGCCACGTTGTAACTTTGAATACAAGATAATCAGTAACATAAAGGCATTCCATCAATTCCAAAACTACCTGCAAATTTTCCAAATGAAATTGCGCGGCAATAAAAATCTTTATCAAAATAAAGCTTAATGAAGCAAAGAACAAACACAAATCATCCCAGTAACTCAGGACGGTAGTGTCTTTCTGAAAACATGCTGACTAGCTACATCTCCTCATTTCTGTGTACAGCCAGGGCACTTTGGTATTGACAACAGATACAGGTAAGTCTCACAGATACCTCCATCATATTTAGAATGATACAGCTCCTAGACTGTACCTTATTGCCATTAAAAGTTTCCCCAAACTCCTCAACACTCTCTTCGGACCATAAAAGTAAAACCCCACGACTTCAAATCTGCTCCTCTGCCTTCCCCTCTCGCAATTAATCCTTTCGAACTTTTCCTTGGGGATTCACATATCTGCCATTAAGATGTTTTCATTCTGCTACTATTCCGAAGTGCCTGCTTTCTTCCAGTTACCTAGCTGCTCTCAATCCAGGAAAAAAGGCACAGGCGAGGCGTCCCTGCTCCTCCCACCCGCGCTTCTCCCTGACCCCCCGCGCCGGCGCCCGGCAGGTGCCTCGCTCCGCGACGCCGCGCCGGGGCCGCCGAGAGGCGGGGCACACAAAGGACCCGCACCGACCTCCCCGGCCTCCCCGCGTCTTCCCCCCACAGCCCGGCGCCCCGGGGAGTTGGGGAGCGAGGGCGGCGGCCACAGGCTCGGCGGAGACCCGGGAGGCTCGCCCCGGCCGCCCCCTCCCCGACCCCAACCCCGCCCACGTCCCACCCACGAAGGCTGCCCCGAGCGCCAGCCCTCACCCGGCAAAGCCGAAAGCGCATCCCCAGCTCGGCGGCCCCGGCCCAGCGCATCCAGCCCGCAGCCCCCGGCGCCGCGCCCGCCAGCCGGCGCCCAACGGCCGCCCCCGACCTCCTCCCACGCCGCCGCGCGCTCCCCCGGCCCCGGCAGGATCCCGGCCCCGCCGCCCGCTCCCCCGCCTCCCGGGAAGGGCCCGCCACCCGCCCGTCCGCCCCGCACTCACAGGCTGCCGGAGCAGGAGGTACACACGAAGGAGCCGACCGTCATGTTCACGTAGGTGGGGCCGCGCTGGTCGCAGTCGAAGCACTTTCGGTTGTGCGGGAGGCCGGTCATGTCCCGCAGCATCTTCAGGTGCTTCTCCTCCTGCTTCCGCTTCGCGCTGGCCGCCATGGCCGCGGTGCCGAGGGAGGAGGCCGGCAGGGCCGGGAGCCGGGCGGCGCTGCGCCGGGGGCCCGCGGTCCCACGGGCCGCCCTGGCCGCGGCCGCCGCCCTCCGTCAGCGCGCGCCGCCCGCGCCGGACCCGGCCGCCGCGGCTCGGCTCGATCGGGCTGGACGCGGCGCAGGCGCTGCGGTGCGCGGGCTGACGGGCCACACCAACCGGCCCGGCCGGGACAACCGCCACCGCCGCCACCTTCCCGACTTCTCCTGAGGGGAAAAGACGAGGAAGGGGACGGCAAGAGGAGGCCCGCCCCGGGCGGCCGGCGGCCAAGTGTCGGCTGGCGCCCTCTGCTGGCCGGGAGGAGTCACTGCGGCCGCGCCATGGCAAGGGCCGGGTCTGAAGCAAAGCAGGGAAGACACAGCAGTGATAATAATATTAGTAATAGACACTATTTACTGAGCGCTTATATATGCAAAGCGTTTCACATGGGTTACCTTCCCCATCTGTTTAAAATTCTTCAAGGGCTCACCACTGCTTTGGGGATAATTCCGAATTCCTCACCATGCCCTGCAAAGTGCTCCATAGTTTAGCCCCTTCCACCTCATTCTTCATCATCCCCACTCAGCCACACGGGATTTTGAGTTCTCCGAACACAGCAAGCTCCTTTCTGAGTCCTGCAGGACCCTTGCCCCTGCTGTTCTCTCTTTATCTATGGACCGGCCAATTTGGGGGGCTTGAGGTGTCCTGTGCACTGCAGGATACCGGGCGGTGTTCCTAGCCTATATCCACTAGATAGGAGAACAAACCCCTCACTTCGCAGTGATGGCAACCAGAAATCCCCAGACATTGACAAAAGTGGAGGGAGGTTTAGGGTGGTGCAGTCACCTAGGTTGAGAACCGCTGCTGCACATGGAAACCCGGATCATCCATAGCTGACGTCCTCCAAGTCAGGTGGGGCTCAGATGTCACCTCTGCCAGACTGTCCCAGATCAGCCTAGTTAATGTTGCAGCTCACCTTTCTCGAAGTTGCTGTCCATCAAATTGCTGCGTTGTATTTTCATCTCAGTTCTAGCTATTTGAAATACTTATTTAGTGTTTAGCGTATGTGATCTCGGCTCTCCCTTTAGACTCTAAACAGCCCGGCCCATATATTTTCTTTGCCACTCCACCGCATTCCCCTCCCAGAGCTGGAGAGCAGGTGTTCAGTGTTGGTGGAATGAATGCATGAAATCGGTCCTGTAATCTTCACAACAACCCTTTGTGGTCAGCGTTGTTGTTATTTACATTTTACAAAACAGGAAGATGAAGCCCTCAGGGATTAAGTAAATTCACCCAAGGGTATACCTAGGGGGAAGCTCCATTCCAACCCAGACAGTCATACTGCAGGACCCAAATCTCTTAGTCACTGCAACTGTCAGCTTTGGGGCGGGATGGTAGAAATATCCCCATCTCTCATTTTCCAAAGGAGTACAGGGAGACCCAGAGAACTGAAGTTCCCAAATCCCTGGGCTGGTGAATGGATAAGAATCTAGGTTTTCTAATAGCCAAGACAATCCACCACATCGCCCATGAAATGGACTGGATGAATCAAGAAAGTGAGATTGCATATTAATATAATACTACTAATAATAATTAATGTTTTAATATTAAAAGAAATGGACAGATAGATTGGCCAATGAATGTTTTTAAACTTTTTTTTTTTTTTTATACCAAGTATGGCTCTGTTACCAGGCTGGAGTCCAATGGTGCTCACTGCAACCTCTGCCTCCCAGGTTCAAGCAATTCCCCTGCCTCAGCTTCCCGAGTAGCTGGGACTACAGGTGTGTGCCACCATGCCCAGCTAATTTTTGTATTTTTAGGAGAGACGGGGTGTCGCCAGGTTGACCAGGATGGTCTCCATCTCTTGATCTCATGATTCACCCACCTCGGACTTCCAAAGTGCTGGAATTACAGGAGTGAGCTACCGCTCCCAGCTGTTTAAACTTTTCTGTTATGAAAAATATTAAACTCCCATGAGCCCATGGACCACTTTCAACAATTATTAGCTCATGGCTAATCTTGATTTATGAAGACCTCAGCCCATCCCTCTCCATCCCCTCTCCTATTATTTTTAAAGCATATTCTAGATTTTGTACAATTCATCTAAATGATGCATAGTTTCATTTGTCTCCCTAAAAAATAAAAACTTGATCACTTACACACTTAACCATGATACCATTAGCATATCTGAAAAGTTAACAATAAGCCAGCCACAATGGCTCACGCCTGTAATCCCAGCACTTTGGGAGGCCAAGGCGGGTGGATCACTTGAGGTCAGGATTTCAAGACCAGCCTGGCCAACATGGTGAAATCCGATCTCTACTAAAAATAAAAAAAATTAGCCAGGCATGATGGCATGCACCTGTAGTCCCAGCTACTCAGGAGGCTGAGGTGAGAGAAACACTTGAACCCAGGAGGCAGAGGTGGCGGTGAACTAATATCGCCGCTGCACTCCAGCCTGGGCAATAAAATGAGACTCCACCTTGAAAGATTAAAATTAAAACATTAATAATTCCTAAAGATCATCTCACTAGTGTTCAAGTTGACAATGATCAATATTTTAATAAAATTTTTACAGTTTGTTTGAACCCACACCTTGCAACTGGGTAGTATGTCTCATAAAGTCTCTTTGGCTTTCTCCATTTTTCTTTAACTACAATTCATTTGTTTTAGTAGTTGGGCACTTTATTCTGTAGAGTTTCTCATCGTCTGTATCATTTGACGTGTTCCTCGGTTCCATTTCCTAGAAATTGGTAGTTGGATCTAGCTCCCTTGTATCGAGTTCAGTTTTTTTGCTGGCACACGCGTTCATTTCATTGTGTTCTTCTATCAGGAGGCACAAAATTGAGGAGAAAGTATGTTTTTCATGATGTTAGTAGCCACTGATGATTAATCTCTAGATTTATTCATTCATTAACAATTAGAAAACAGTGATATTCTAATTCTGCCATTCTGGCTGAGAGCAGTGACTTACACCTGTTATCCCAACACTTTGGGAGGCTGAGGCAGGTGAATAACCTGAGGTCAGGAGTTCAAGACCAGCCTGGCCAACATGGCAAACTCCTTCTCTATTAAAAATACAAAATTAGCTGTGTGGTGGTGGTGGGCACCTGTAATCTCAGCTACTTGGGAGGCTGGGGCAGGAGAATTGCTTGAACCTGGGAGGCAGAGGCTGCAGTGAGCCGAGATCATGCCACTGCGCTTCGGCCTGGGTAACAGAGTGAGACTCTATCTCAAAAAATAAATAAATAAATACATAAATAAAACTAATTATTTCATTCCTTCATTTATCAGCTGAAAATTTTCTATAAAGAAAGAAAATTTCCCTTCGTCTACTGTTTTATTTGGTATTGTTCCTGTCAGAAATGCAGGACAAATATTTGCTTCCTTTTCTTCATTCACACATTTTCAAAATAATGTATATATTGATCAAAATACATGATTTTGATCAATATATAAAGAGATATCTGTATCTAGATTTTGGAGAGAGGTCTCACTCAGTCACCCATGCTAGAGCCCAATGCTGCGGTCATAGCCCACTGCAGCCTCAGACTCCTGGGCTCAAGTGATCCTCCTGCCTCAGTGTACCCCATCAAGAAGCTAGGACCACCACACCTGCCTTTTTTATTTGTTGCAGAGACAAGTTGTTGCTATGTTGTCCAGGCTGGGCAATCAATATTTTTAAAGTGCTATTACAAACTCAAGGATTTAAACATATTGAATATACTTTATATCCCGATGCTTACATCATCTCATCACTGGCCAGTGGGAACCACTGAAAGCTGGCTCTTGAGTATTTTTGACAAGACCCTTGACTTAAGGTCTGCTGAAGTTTTTGTTGTTGTTGTTGAGATAGAGTCTCGCTCTGTTGCCCAAACTGGAGTGCAATGGTGCGATCTCAGCCCTGCCTCCTGGGTTCAAGTGACTCTCCAGCCTCAGCCTCCTGAGTAGCTGGGATTACATGCATGCACCACCATGTCCAGCTAATTTTTGTATTTTTAGTAGAGACAGGGTTGTACCATGTTGGTCCGGCCAGTCCCCAGCTTTTGACTTCATGTGATCCACCGTCATTGGCCTCCCAGAATGCTGGGATTACAGGCAGTGAGCCACTTAGATGGGCCCTGGAGTTCCGACAGGGACCCGGGCCATTCAAAAGATGAAAGCAAAATTGAATCCTTGACTGATCCAAACAGAAGTCTTACTTACCAGCCCCATGCTGGCTAAATATGACACCCGGCAGTCTCTTATTCATAACTAACAAATGCCCCCATGCCACAGCCCCTGGCTTATTTGTTTCTATATTTGCAGCCCTCCCTTGTCATTTGTTTGTTCGCTGGTTGCTCATTTCTTCATGGTTTATCATCTGACGCGTTCCAAATTCAGAAGCCATGACTGCGGCACCTTACACAAACAGTTGAATGAGTGGTTGGTTGATTCTTGTGTTTTTGTTGTTTTAAAGAGACAGGAGTAAGGCTGGGCACAATGGCTCATGCCTGTCATCCCAGCACTTTGGGAGGCCAACGTGGGAGGATTGCTTGAGCCCGGGAGTTTGAGACCAGCCTGGGCAACATAGTAAGACCTTGTCTCTACGAAAAAAATTTTTTTAATTAGCTGAGTGTGGTGGCGTGTGCCTATAGTCCCAGCTACTCAGGTGGCTGAGGTTGGAGGATCGCCTGAGCCCAGCAGGTTGAGGCTGCTGTGAGCCATGATCGTGCCACTGCACTGCAGGCTGAGTGACAGAGTGAGACTGTCCCTCAAAAAAAAATAGAGAGAGAGACAAGAATAGGTACAGTATTTCCAAACTGTGGATCTGTAGGAAGGTGAAGTTTAGGTCCAAGATGTTTTCCTCAAGTAAAGATGTTGTTTGTTTCATGCCACACATAATGTCAAAGTCGGTTTCTACTTTCAAAAAATCCCAACGAGAGTTCACTGTGTAACGAGCAAGACTACTTATGTAACTTCCTAAACTCTCACAGCAACGCAGAAAGAGGTATCATTACCGCTGTTTTATATAGGAGGAAACTAGGGCTCTGGAAGGCTGGCCTGCCCAAGGCCACGCCAGAAGTGAGGCGTGAAGCCAGGATTCAAACCCAGATCTGGCTGCAAGGCCTCTGCTTCCAGTAACTGAATACTGACCCTGCTTATTGGATTTACAAAGGAGAAATTACCTTTAGAGATGTTAACACTGCAGCCAGAGTAATCATTTCAAAATGTAGATGTGATTCATATGTCGCCAGTCCCCTCCCCCTACGT